TCTGCTCTTGTGAGACCTCACCTGGAGTGTTTTGTGCAGTTCTGTTGTCCTCATCATAAAAAGGACCTGGAACTGTTGGAACAAGTCCAGAGGAGTGCCACGAGAATGATCAGGGGACTGGAGCACCTCCCATATGAAGATAGGCTGAGAAAGCTGGGGCTGTTCAGCCGGGAGAAGAGAAGGCTGCGTGGAGACCTCATAGCAGACTTCCAGTATCTGAAGGGAGCCTATAGGGATGCTGGGGAGGGACTCTTCATTAGGGATTATAGTGATAGGAGAGGGGGTAATGGGTTAAAACTTGAACAGGGGAAGTTTAGATTGGATGTAAGGGGGAAGTTCTTTACTGTAAGGGTGGTGAGGCATTGGAATGGGTTGCCCAGGGAAGTTGTGAATGCTCCATCCCTCGCTGTGTTCAAGGCCAGGTTGGATGAGGCCTTGGGTGACATTTTTTAGTGGGAGGTGTCCCTGCCCATGGCAGGGGAGATGGAACTAGATGACCTTATGGTCCTTTCCAACCCTAACTATTCTATGATTCTGTGTTACTATGGAGCTACAAAATTTGGATGTCCCACTACTAGTGACTTCAGAAAAGTTAAGCAGAGTCTTTTTTGTCTCTTGTTCTCCTAAGTATTATTTTTTTTTCCTCTTTCTATATCAGTTAAGGCTGTCCGTACAAAAACGTTTCTAATGAATCACATGGATGATGAGTATAATTTTATTTGAGGTTTCTAAAACCATAATGCTGAGACAGATGTGATGGGTGGGAATGGTTGCTGCTGCTGCAGTTTCTGAAAATACAGCTGCCACAAATGTGGATGTTTCTCAGGATATTTTAAGTCTTCCATTATCTTGCTCCCTGTATTTGTCCTTTGAAATTACAGGTTTATTAATATCAGAGCATAGTACTGGAAACAATGAATCTGGTAGCCTTGAAGTAAGATAGCATTTATAGTATCCTTATCATGCCTTAAAGATCACTCAATAAATTAGCTATAATGAGCCATCCTGTGCTGATACAAACATGATGAAATGGAGTAATGAGACAAAAATACAAAGTCACTCTTCTTTAGATCAGGCTTTAGACCCTAACAAACTAAAATAATTTCTGAAAATTTCCTGTTGTTTTTTTTTTTTTATATTCCCAAACAGTGTTGGGTTGTTTTGTTTTTTTTTGTTGTTGTTGTTTGTTGGTTTTTTTAACGATTCTATGCTTCTGAATACAAAATCTTGAAACCTTTGAAATGTGTACTGAATTCCTGTTTATTTGATGAAACAGTAATATCAGACTTGGCAGTAGAATATCCATTTTTGGAGCTCATCATGCATAAACCTTTGCTGATAAAGTGAGGCAAGAAAGGTAGAGCAAAAGTGCCTAGAAATTCTTTATTCCTATTTAGCTGGAAAGATTCCAGCAGAAATCAATGGCATCTGCTGCTTTTCCAAATAACACCTTGGTACTTTGCAGTTAAAAAAAAACAAAAACAACCTCATGAAAAAAGGAGACGTTATGGGAATATGGATTATTGCTATTTATGGACTGAGTTCAAGGACATCGGTATTCTTAACATAAGTTTCCCATAAATGTTTGGATCTGCTACCTATGCTCAAAGACTAGAAATAAAGGGCTCTACTATTTTGTGAATGCCTAGGTTATATTAATAATAAAAAAAAATAAAATCAAACTTCACATTAGAATGAATAATGGGTACTTACCAGGTTTCTGAAGCTGTAAAAGATGATTTCACAAAAACAAGTTGTAGAGTTGCAGAATGGTTTGGGTTGGAAGGGACTTTAAAGATCATCTAGTCCCACCTCCCTTGCCATGGGCAGGGACACCTTCCACTAGACCAGGTTGCTCAAAAAACAAAGTCAATTCAATATTTGCTTAGGAGTTAAAAAAAACCCTGCCAAAACACCCCCAAAACTCGGGGGGGGGGGGGGGGGGGAAGAGGAAGGGATGAAAATTAGACAAAAAGATTTCTTAGAAAAAAAATCAGGAAAATTATATAGTGTCTAAAGTGTTTTCTGTTGTTTTGTTCTTTCTATAGTTCTGTTTAGAAAAAGGTCTTACTTGTTTGTTTGGTGCGATGCGTTTTTGGTATGGTTTTATTTTTTGGTTTTGGTGTTTGGTTTTTTTTTCCTCCCTCAGTATTTAATGAAGCTGTAACAGAGTTTGTTCCATCATGAGTACAGCATGAAATAAAAGCAGGATTGTTACCTTTCAGAAAACTCACATCTTTTGTATGTATATCCAGCAGAAAATACCAAACAGCTCTAGGGATATCTAAGGCATCAATTAGTAACACAGCTGTTGATATTTTGAATGTTAGTGAATGACCTTTGTAGCTAAGGTATCTGATCTTTGCAGTCTGGAGGTCAGCTGTGTATAGAGAGAGGTTTCCATGTGCATCAACGCAAATACTCCCAAGACAGGAAGGCTATAATTGAAAACTGACTTTCAATGAGACAATATTTATTTAAAAAGAAAAAAAAAATACAAGTTACTCTGTACATTTCAACGTATTGTGTTCTTTCCAAGGCTGTCATAAGAAGCTGTCAGCATTGCTACCTAACTGTGTGCTTCATTTGGAAGGCTGACTTCCTGCAATGGCTGACCATAGTTTGTTAACAGTTTATATCAGCAAAGAAGTTCCATCACTTGTGTAATTTCAGTTATTGCTCAAATTAAGTTATGCTGTAGCTGTATCTTCAGTGGCACTTTTGCCAGTATAAAATGTCATGTCTGTTCTGACACTGCTGAATTGGCAAGAGTTTCTGCTGTGGACTTGATTGAATCTTGGATAATGATGAAGAGAGAAGTAAGATAAAACAGAACAAAACGTCTGAAAAACATATTTAATCTAAAACTGCAAAATGCTGACCTTGGCAAGGTATTTTTGAGTTAATTATCGCAGGAGTATCATGCACTTCAAACACAGTGAGAATTTAGCATGACATTGCCTCAAAGACAAGCTTTTTGATACTGTATGTCTCCTTGGTTTTTCTCTTCTCCTTTCGGGATATCTCAGATTACTTTGGTCTATGTAATGCAACTACCTTCATAAAAGTATTTGCACAGATTGTTTCTTCAGAGCAGGCTGACAAATGTAAGTGTTCTGTTCTCTAAAGCCATATCAAGTTGAGTTGCTACCCATCAAACAGTTTTAGTCACCTTGTGTAATTATCACAAGTGCTTTTATGTAACATTATCTTCAGTTTTTCATATTTAAAGGGGGTAGAAATGTTGTTTATTTTTTTTTTCCTAATCAAATTCTAAATGGCCATTTAAATGCTTCTGTATAAAATTGTCTTAAAAGGTAACTGGACTGCTTTTTTTTGTGCCTAAAGATATTTCTGTTACATAAAATCTGATCATTCTTGAAATGTCAGCAGTGATGTGCTAGTCACTGTTTGAATTTACAAACAACTTGTATTGTTTCCAGAATTCAATTTAACACATTTTACTTTTGCTTGCAGTCATTAAAAACCTAGTAGTTTTTATATAGCCTGTATCTTTTTTGTGTAAGTGTGCTGTCAGTGAACCTGCATTACGAATCTGCAAAGGTATTTTAAGGGAGACTTGTTGGAGTTTATTCCCAGGATTTTTTTTCTTTCCACTGAAAACCTTGAACTACAGTATTTTCTCTCTAGGGAACAAAAAAAAAGTGTTGTATACAAAGATTAGGGTGTGGGTTGTCTTACTCTTTTCAGATGCATTTTATTCATCTTCATTTAGTCTAGTAAACAATTTTATTTAAAAGAGACAAAGAATGAAAAAAGTTACCTTGAAAGATTTTTTGGAATTAGCTGAATTTTCTCACAGAACTGTATTTACAGGTGTTTTGTGCTGCAGTGTTTTTGGTTTTCAGCTTCTGTATTACATTGGCAGATACTTACTTTGTATTAAGTTATGAGCAAAAAAGCAAGCTAATGTGTTTTTTGCAAAGTTCCGTGTGCATCAAGCACAGCTTCATTCTTCTGGGAGAAGGTAACACAATAATTTGTGATTGTGTGGTATATAATGAAATGTTGTCCTACAATTTTAATATATGTTAGTATATTAGATCCTGGCCTTTATCCCTTCAAATGAGTAGGAATTTAAACTTCGAGAGTTAAGATTGTATATGAAGATCAAACCATTGCTCTGTAGAAATTGTTGTCTACTTTGAAAATCACACTTCAATAGAAAAATCCTTGTTTTAGGGAACAGAATTAAAATATCTTTCCGTCAAATATCTTCCTCTGAAAATTTCACTATAATTGTGAGTGCAGCTGGATTCAAACGGTTAAAGAGATCTATTAGAAGCCAGGAATTATAGCTCACCCCAACATACTGTCAGCCTATTCCAAATCCTGGTATCTATCTACATATTCCAAAGATACAGCCAACAGTCCAAACTGTAATTGGTTTTTTGAACTGCAATGAGGGTGTGTTCAGGTGGTGTACCTGAAATTACACAATCTAGGTTGCATTGCTTGTGTTCTGGGAGTTTTTGAGTCTAGTAGTTCAAATTAGAATTGTTCTTAGGCTTTTTGCTTTATTTTTTCTTTCATTGCTGCGGAGTTTGTGGTTCAGGATTTTCTTAGATTGTTACTATGTTAACTACTTTTGCTCAATTTTTTTAATGAAAAATGTGGATTTTATATAAAACTGTATTTCAGTGTACTAATATGAAAATATTTTTCCCGTTAAAGAATACAAAATAGACATGTTAACATTTTGGAAGGTATACTTTGGAAGCAGTTGAAATTATAGTTGACTTTGCTGCAGTCTAGAATATTTCCAACTATAAGATTCCCTTTGTGAGTCTTCTAAGAACTCAGTTGCATGTGATATGCAGTTGCACTGAAGTTTGCACTGTTCTTTTGCTTTCTGTTATTTAGTCTGTCTTGATTAATTGTTGTACTGAGACCGATTTGGTCTAATTTATTTAATATATACTTTAAGAACATCCAAGATTTATTCTTACAACATTTCTTTTTTTCTGTTCTCTCCGTAGATACTACAACGTATTCCACTGAGCGATCTGAGCACTTTAAGCCATGCAAAGACAAGGATCTTGCATATTGTCTCAATGAAGGGGAATGCTTTGTGATTGAAACCTTAACAGGATCACATAAACACTGCCGGTAAGTCCTTTGAGAAGAAGTTTCAAAACAAGTCTTCTGTCCAAGTGAGACAACATTAAGTTTAGACTTAGAATGTTACAAAGCAATGGGCTTTACTTCCGATTTGTTTCTATCCCTCACAGTTGATGGGGTTTGTTACTAGTATGTAATAATTCTAAATAGAAATATGGAAATGCAAAAAGCCACATTTTGATTACTTCTATAGATAAGAAAAATCTTCAGTATTCTGTTTTATAATCATATAAACAAGTAAAGATTAATGTTTTGGTTTATACATTTTTAAATCTTATATTCCTCTACATACCAGAAGTGTCCCTTTATTTTGGGTACTCAAAGTAGAGCTTTGATGATAGCTATATCGACCCTTAATTAAGAGAGGAATTGTTCAGTTAATAGTTTTAAGAATTAGGATTTCCTAAGTTCTAATAAGTGAAAGATAAAGAAGACTGTAATAGGTATCTGAACCTGCTACACAGCTGCTGAACTGTTATGCTCCTGAACTTCTGTTAATGTCTGTGACCATCCTGAACATATTTAAAGGAATATTAGAAAACTTTATCATTACATATAACTATGCTAGATGTAGTGGCCAGTAAAAGGGAGTGATATAAAGAAGGAATACTGTAACATCTTCCTAACGATAAGAATGTAAAAAAAGTCTGAACAATTAGAACAGTCTTAAATAGAAGAAGTCCAAAATGAAAACCTGTACTTGTGATGTTTTAATTTACACCCAGGATACTGTATTTGGCATATAGAAGTGTATCTAAGATGTCTATATACCCAAATTCTAAACTGAGCATCTAAACATGTAGGTATCACTAATATAAGTAATAAAAAAAATAAGGCAGTTGTAAGCTTTCTTGAATGATTTGGGACTTAAGCTGCTAAATCCTACTGAAAGTAGGAAAAAAGGCACAAAATCTTATGTGTTTTGTTTGAAAGTGGAAATTTATGAGTTTAAAGATTGATGAAAGTCTGCTTATCATCAACAGAATATTTCTGAGATTTTTATTTTTAAGGCTATGCTGGTATCTTTTTTCTCATTCAGAATGGTCATGCTTCCATGACCATTTGTTTCTTCTCTTTATTTTATGTTTTCATGTGGCATCTTTATTAAACTGAGTCATTAGTCATGGAAAAAATTATGACTTTTTCAACTTCCATCATAAAATGTTACAGGTATTTTTTTTCTCGAAGGAAGTGTGTGATTTTCAGTTTTAGTAATCTCGTGAGCTGTTAACAAAGGAATTAAATCACTTGTTTAAGCATTTTTCATTGTCAGAATATTAAAACTGGACAAAGTGGTACAAACTAATAGCAGGGAGAATTTGATAAATATGGTAAGTTTTACTTACCTTCATGAATTTAATAGCTAATTTATTTGAATGCACCACTTTAGTAAACTGTATGGATTGAATTTTTAAATATATGCAGGAGTATTTCTCATAATAGAGCTGTCTTTAGTTAGTTGGTTGGTTTTAGTACTGTCAAGATCTTTCCTGTTGTCTGCCTTTGTCAAATTCTTACTTGCTGTGATTCTAATGCTTCAGTCTGGCTAACGGTTTGAAGCTTTTCCCCTTAACTAAACAAACCAGAGTGTTGAGTTTTCATTGTTTCCAGCACAGGGAAATCTTTTCATAGGTTCTTTTGTGTTATTCTTCCACAGGGAAATAGGGCTATCATTTGTGGATACTGCTAGCTCCCATATGTAAAAGATTTGCATTGCTTGTACAAGTTTCAGGCATTGACACGTTCTATGGGAATTAAACATCTGCTTATTTCCGGGTTACTTGGAAGAGTGCAACACAAAAAGACATGTATAAGGCAATAAAAATTCATATAGCAAGAGAAGATGCATTTTAAAATTTAAAAGGTGATTAAACTAGTTATAATGCTTTGTTTAATTCTGTAAGGACCTTCAACGCAGCAAGCAGCAGCTTGTTCAGAATTGCTTTTATGATACTGATGTGTATGTCATGAACAAAGAGAAACATTATGATTTGACCTTCAAATTCTTTATCTCTACCTTGGTAACAGCCTGTATGTCTCTTTGTCAGGGACAGTGCTGTAGTGAGTCAGATGCAGGTGTTTTTTCTATCTCTCTGTAGCCTAGAACCATGCTCTGAAATAGCAGCTAGAATATATATGTATAGCAAAACACAGTATTGCTGTACTGTATTTGTCGTCTAACTAGAGGAAAAAAAAAGGTAACTTTCCTTGAGAACGGAAGGTTTGCGAATTCCCATTGCAATTAAAAGTCATTTGAATATGGAATTATGAAAACTTAGAGAGTGAATTGATACTTTGCTCTTAGAATTAAGCTGCATTGTGTTTTCTCACTGGGAGTCAGATTTTACATCTGTTCTGGGAACAGAGTATCAAGTTGCTGAAATGGAAATTTGCCATGTGAAACAGCTGTAGATAGAAGACCTTGATGTAGCAAAAAAACTTTCATCCCACTTTGTTAGGTTTAAGGATGGTTAGGAGATGATATATGGAGGCATTTGTGCAGTTGTTACCAACCCAAACACAGCAACCCTCCACCCCAAGAAAGGAAAAAACAAAACAAACAAAAACCAACCAGACAACCCAGAAACCAAACAAAAAAAAGAGATCTGGTAGCCATTAATAAATACTTGAGTTACATTGTGGACCTCTTCTGTATTCTCGTGAACCATACTCTCCGTGTAAACAGTTTCAACTGGCAGTTCAGGCACCTTTCAGAGTTGACAAAATTCATCATATTCAACAATAGGAGGAGATAACTCCAGCAGTTAGTAATGACATTGGCAGCTGGATGCTGTAGAACACTGTAGTTATAAAGCTTTATAACTTTCTCCTGTTTTGTGAGATACATGCTTTAGCTAGTAGAAAACCTATAATCATGGAGAGTGGGACGAGCGTGCACCATATGTAAAGGGCAAGAGAGGGGCTGTGTTGTAGGAGACCGCTGCAGATACAGTAAATGAGGAGATCTGAAGTAGCCCTGCTTCTGCATCTTCTGTTCTTATCAACCTACAGAGGAGGTGTCATGGGATTAATTAATTATTTATTTATTTAGCTTAGCAACTGGAGGAAAGAAATAAAGGAATGGTTATATTTTCAAATTCTGTAATCCCATTTTCATTTGAACTTTTACATTTTACTCACTTTGTCTTGGTGAAAACTTGCCTGTGGATATAAAGTGGCAGAGTTCACCCACATAGTTAGGTAACGAACAAGATATGCTGACTGTTTTTTGTGCTATTTTAAAGGTGTAACTTCAGTATTTATTTTGTGAATGGTTTAACACGGGCTTCTTTTAAGGATAGGGTAGGTCAGCAGTAGGGAAACTTTATATTTAGCTTCTCCATATGCTGATTTCTTTTTTCTTTTTTTTTTTTTTTTTTTCCCTGTTGCCTTCTTGAGAATTTAAGCTGAATGGTAATGGTGCTTTTAGTTGTTATTTACAGAAAACAAATGAAGCATGCTGTCAACACTGATGCATCAGTGTTGAATGGGTTATTACATGATGCAGTCTTTAAAAAAAGTTTTGTTTTTATCTGCACAATTTCATTTCAAAGACCCTATCTCAAGTAACTTTGGGTTTTGTGGGTTCGTTGGAGTTTTTGTTTCATTTTGCTTTTTTGGGAGGCATGAATCCTTTTTATTTTTCTTTTCCTTTTTTCTTTTTATTTTTTATTTTTTTTCTTCTTTTTCCCCTTCTTAGACCCTTCATTTTCTTCTGATTACCCATTTAGGACTGGAGAACAGTAGATGAATGAGTGGCAAAAATTTGAAGGGAAAAAAGGATTGCACTGTAAATTTCTTTCCTGAAAGAAGCCATTAAAACTATTGTGGAAATCTTGGTATTGGCAGTGACCTACAATGTACTCTATAGATTTGAGTATGTTGGATGCGATACTCATAGAATCACAGAATAGTTAGGGTTGGAAAGGACCTGAAGGTTACCTAGTTTCAACCCCCTGCCATGGACAGGGACACCTCACACCAGACCATGCTGCCCAAGGCTCTGGCCAGTTTGGCCTTGAATACTGCCAGGGATTGAACATTTACCATGTCTTTGTGCAACCTGTTCCAGAATTTTCCAGAATGCTTCTGACATGGGAATAAAGCAAACCCAGGAAATTACTAAATATTGAGTAGCATTTAATAATAAAACATCTCATTTATGCCACATTATTACAAGGTTAGTTTCAATAAAAATAATCCCTTGCATTAAGCTGACAACATAACATGCAGCTAGAAAGAATTTAAAGGAGAAGGAAAGCTGTGCTTAAAATCTAAGATGTGTTCCATGTCAAGGGCAATCAACAGCCCTCCTGTTGTGAAAATTATTGGCTTATGAGCATAGCTGTAGCACATATCTAGACTATATTTGCATAGTTGCACACGTTAGCTGGAAATGTTTCCATTTTACTTTCATGTTTTCTTTAGAAAAGCAGAAGTGAACTTGAAATACCACATTAAGTAGCTCCAACCTGTTTTTAAGCAAATATTATAATTTAGATGCCACATTGCATTATTATTACATCACCTTTCAAAACTTGTGGTTGCCTTCAGCTCAAATGGAATAACTTGTCTGCCTAAAGCATTGCGACTGTGATACTTTTCAAAACTCAGGCCTGTAGGAAGTCAGGAAGCAGAAATTCTGGCCAAGAAGTCTGTCACACAGACTGCACATGCCAGAGTAGAATATGCTCAGCTATGCTCCTATACTCATAATCCAGACAGAACTGGTAAACGACAAATAACATCTTTTCTTTCTTTATGCAATATCAATAACAAATCTGCAATTTGACTACTTTTCCATTTTTTCATTGGTAAACCTCAAGCTTTCCTTGACTAGTTTTTTAAATGTTTTTTTTCTTCATACAACCCCCCACCCCCCCAAAAAAAACATGCCTCAAACCCAAACTAGTTCTGCATTCTCTTTCAAGCTCCTGTTCTTGAAATATTAGGAATAGGTTGCATGACTTACTGTTATACACTTGGTT